ATGCATTAGCAGAATTGCCACAATTGCTCGTCTCAGCTTTAATACGCCATTCTTATAATCAACAAACTGTCAGTAGTATATTGGTCACAACTGATCGTCTGAGATTAGTGTAGTTCTGTTACCAGCATTCGTGCGAATGTCTGTGTTGCTACTTTGCTGTCAGTAATAAAGTGACTGACCTAAAGCGCTATTGAAATCACTGTAATGATGTTAACACTATATTGCTATTATAGAATTAGCGCCATTACTTACTTTAATATTATCGAAGCCAGTATTAGCGGGAGGTTTTTTAGCACAGGTATTAAAATAGTGTATTAATAACTTATGTTAGTTATATCTGTAGCATCCTAATTATGTAACTTATTTCGGTGGTGCCAGTAGTAGTATTCCTCATGTTACCGCCGTCTGTTTTTGTCTACATTTGTGTGACTATCACGTTGAATCATGTGCATAAGCAGAGCGTTTTTATTTGTAATGTTCATTGTGTTCACAGCTTTGCAACGCTTCTACTGTGTCGTGGGAAGAACAGTTTTTTTCTTGAGGCAAATTTACTTCTACCTTGCTCCTGCTTCTCTGATTGCATTCTGACTTTTTGGCCGGTTTTGTCGCAGTCATGTTACTGTTAATATTCATATTACTTATAGAACGTTTACGCTAAGAAGTTGGTTTGTCGCTGTCTTACTAACACCCCGTATTAAGAGAAGTGTAGTAATGTTGATAATTGTGATGTTACTGTTAATACTGGCATGGCTGTTCTGCTGTCGGTCGTACCGGTACTGTTGGGCTGATAATATAAGTTTGCAATCCTGATTGTTTAACGTCTCAGCTAGGTAAGTTAAAAGTACCGATGTTCCATATCGGCGGCATAAATTCTGCATCGTGCTTGTTGGTCCGTGGGACGTCATGCTCGTATCTTCGATGAATTTATCTTTCTCGCTCTGAGGGAAAACTTAACTGTTATTTTTTATGATTTACGTTAAACAGTTGCTTGTAATATTTTATTGGGTTCAAATACTTCTATATGTGGCATACTGTTTTGTAAAAGCCATAGTTCGGTTAGAGATTGGGTTTAGGGCCATTGTTCCTTGATCGTGTTTTCATGCTTTGACAGCAGAGGAATCTCCCTTAAAACGCTAGGTTGCTCTAAAGTGTGTCCGTAGTTTGCCAAGCTATGCTATGCACTAGACAAAACGCTGGCAAACTACTTAATTCTAATTTGTTGTTTAGGAAACGAGCTGTCTGAATAAGCCAAAGCCTCTACGGGAATGTCAAATGTTTAAGTCGAAGCTGTCAGTGCAGCGAGTAGTGGACAGCATCATCAAACAAGCGGAGACGCAGTTCAGCACCGCATCCGTACAGTCGCTGAAGAACAAGGCACTGCGCGAGTGCGTAGCCAAAATTCAGGGAGCAGCGCCATCCTCCTCCTCGCCGACTGCGGCAGTCGCTGTCACTAAATTCCAAGACGCATGTACCCAGACCTCATCGACTTCGTTGTCCCGCAGCTCCAGCTTTACGTGGCTGTCTGAAGGAGATCTGCCTTTTTACGTTTCTTCGCATCGGGACTCCGCCGTTTCGGCGAAGCTTGATTTCGACGTCGTCTCGTCGTCCGATTCGACAACGGAGGTGGAGAGGACGGTGTTGTCCGAGTCGATGCCGTCTGAGATGTGCTCTGAGTTCTGTGCCGATGGTACGGAACAGTCCAGTTCTGACTTCAGCGATGACGAACATTCGAGCGGCGCCGACGTGGCATCTCATTTTGTTCCCAGCAGCAACACTCCCTCGACGACCAAGTTCCCGCCGGCTGTCTCATCTGCCTTGTCCCAGGCATTTCGTCAAGGTTGGTGACAACTACTTTGTTGAAGTACTCGTTAGCGGCACTGTTTTGATTATCGTGCATATTTTAATGGTTTATTCGCTTTCACACATCAGTGTGAAAGGATGATGTACTCATTTCAGTTGTTTAAGACATAATGTGAAGTCGCGTTGTAAAACCAACGCGTTCGCTGTCACGTTATTATTGTTTTCGTTATAAGCAGAAATTGTCGACTTAACAACTGATCTAAAGTTAATCTAGCCAATGTTCACTTCCGAAGTGTTTAGTTGATGGTGGATATCACCCCGCAGAGAGAGAAGACAAACATAACAGCGCGTGCGCAAACGCGAGTATTAGCAACAGAGATGCGGCTGTTACGGCTGGAGGCCAAAAGCAGGACGACCAGGTATCATCGATGTTCAGCAGCGACAACAAGTCTTCCGATGTGGCTTCTCGTCCGCGACCGATAAACGGTTCCAAAAGTACACGTCCCCCGGTGATAAACAAGGTGGCGGAAATGGCGGGCAAGTGCTTCGGAAAGAGTGGCGTCTGCGCGTCGGCACAATCACCATTTTTCAAAAAGAGAGAGGGGCCATCGCCGTCACAAACGCCGCAACTGACCGCCAAGGTGCCGTCCGAAACTGAAATCCCTCGTCTCATCAACCGTAAATTGCAGCTTTCGGTAATCGCAGTGTTTGAGTTTACTTGTGGATGGTTTCAATCGATAACAAACTATTTAGAAAAGTGCACTGGGACTTGCGTTCAGGAAAACGGCCGAAAATCCAAGCTTGTTTTCCCGCGGTTCAGACTCAGGCGGCGATCTACCCTCTTTCGAAGTTGGTCGTCAGAACAAGGTAGGATGTTGTGCATTTGCTGTGTTGTGGAAAATTTTAAGTTTCACATAAACTTCCCGACCTAGGTTTTACCGTAAAATTTTCCGAATTTAAATTTGAGTTTACCCCTTGTGCCTATTCTTAACCACTAATAAGCGAGTCGAGGCGAACTGCAGCCTTTATGGGCACGCATTGGATGGCATTGTTATTCGATAGCATGTTTGATAAATACACGTCCCCGACTGTCGCATGTTTACTTCCTGGCACAGTGGGACATAACTTTGCATTACTCTTCAAGTTTTTCATTAGCTCGCCGCTAGACCGGCGTTGTTCAGTCTGTAGGGCGTCTCTGGCAGAATCTGTCGCACTTCTGTCAGGTCACTCTTCCTGCTTCCTTCTAAGATTCGTAAATGAGTACGATTCTGTGTAATGTGAAGGACACAGGAGACTATATGCATTATGCATGCCAAGTTGATGTCGACTCTGCCTTTCAAATAAGACACCGTTGGCTGATAGCGTGGAAGTAGAGATCATCGCCGCGTCTCGCCATTAATTTCATGCAAAGAAAAGCGCGAGAAATGGCATCATCATGATAGTATACAAAAGACGTCTTCTGCAGAATATTGCCATGAGTTTCGTATATCTTGAAAACGGTTGTTTCTCGAGGTATGAATAATGCAGGCAAAAACTGATGTTCGTTAATCATTCTTAGATAACGGGAAAAATTCTTTTTCGAATCGTTGTAAATTATGGAATGGAAAGATTTAACCGTTTTCAGTTGTCCACGGCATGGCTTAGTATGTATTATAGGACGCGCAGCTCTGAAAATATATCAGAAACGCAAATACCGTTAGCACAGTTTATATGTTATATTAATTAGGGCGTCCAACTTTTGCCGATATTGGTCAAAATTGATCAAAACAACAGCAGCTCCAAGTAAAATCAGTCTTAAGGTCTCTGTCAGACGTTAGTTGAGGCCGAAACATGCGGAATATGTAGGAATTGATGATCTGTCAGTTTCCAGTGGCAGTTCGCCGTTGAATAACACATTTACGAATAGGTCAAGTGTAGAAGCATTTAGCCCTCGACGATTACGATAGGCACATGGACAGTGAAACTGCATCCGTTTTCGGTCAGAAACCTCCGTTAGGTGAATCTGATCCCTTAATCTGACCCATGTGTCGCATCACGGGGTAGATCTTTTTATTCCTGTATGTTGTCGTCAATCGGCAAATCTTTCTGATTCATTTTTTCCGGGGAGAGAGGGATTGAAGCATAAGGTTAAACACATACACTTATCATTGTAATACAAGTTTTATAGACTATATATTTTGAACAGTTTTTTGTTATGTTTTCAATAAACAAGGTGCCAGTAACCATTAACTCTCAAATAGGTAGGTCTTGGAAGATACATGACCATTGTCATAAAAGAATAAAACCAAAACGGCTGTGCCAGCAGACGAGTCTTACCTCAAGCATAGCTATAAGAAGTCCATTGAAAAATTTTATTTTTGTGCGGTGATTTAAGTGTAAGGCCATTCGTTTTACACCGGCTTTCATAGACAACTCCACAGTTGTTCTAAAACTTTCCTCAAGGCATTAATTCTGCCTTCCTTCCTTTCCGGTTTCCATTCATGCCCATCCAGCATTGTCTATGTCAGTAACGTTTACGTCAGTATGGTTCTCGAAGATGTAATTAAGCTTCTTTTGTTTTCTCACGAGAATTTGAGGTAATGCTGTTTTTTGTGAGGGTTGAGTTTGGTAATTAACTTGAACTAGTAGAGTAAAGTTCACCTGACTGCTGAAGTTATAACTGGTAGCTTTAACTTACAAGAGTCAACTGATAACATGGCTGAACTCGGCGGAAGATCATATTTGTACTTTAGAATTTTGGAGTTTCGCTTCTGCACGAATTCCCTCCGCAGCTGTGCAATAAAACAAGCAAGCAAACGAATGCAGTCGATTTGCAGCCTTCTCGTTACGCGGTTAGTGCCGCGTTCAGGTCTTCTAAAGAAGACTCGATAGCTGAGTCACTTCCGTGCTTAACGGCTACGAAAACGAAGATGAAGCCTGACGAATCCGCGGATTCAGAAAAGGTAAGCTTCCCCAGTGCTAGACGTTAAACTTTGATAATGGTTTGAGCTCATCATGAGTCGTTGTAAGATTCCATCAAATTTTTTTAAATTTGCCTCCCACGCGGCGTGTAAATTTCACACAGAAGCAGGTTTCGATTGGGTTGTCGAACGTCCCTTACGAATGTGGTAACTAATAATTTAATTAGATCCTTTATTGTTCGAATGCGATTCGTAACTGTACAAGTAAGTTACCGGAAAGCTCTGCATAGTTATTTTGTTCAACAAATCAGACGAAGCAATCACACTGGTTTTTTTTTTTCTATTTTATTCTCCAAAAAAAGGATCAAGTTCGTTTCAGTACACTGGAGGTTTTGCGTAAAATAAACTTAATATATCCAGTTATTCATGCGTACCGTTTTATTGACGCGTTTTCATAAACGTTCGATGGGAAACTGAACAAGGAAGAGAAAAACGTTGCGTTGCAGGGGGAGCTAGTGGCATACTACTTTTCTTTTAACTTCTGAGGTGCGGGCTTGAAGCTCTATGTACGTTATGACTACTCATTTGTTCACTTCTAATTTCCTTCAGCAGGGAATTTATTCCATTGAGCTGTAGTTCGATGCAACCAGCCTAAAAGCGGTTGGTAGATTTTGGAACTGTGGTGTTTCGGCTTGGCCACGTCAAAGTGTACGATAAATGCGATCGTGCTGTCTGATACGTGAGCGCGCCTTCTGGCTGCAATTCGTTTTGATGTACCTGACAGCTGATTAAGAATCTGCCCAAAGAGTAACTGTAAATTAAATTGAAAACGTTCAGTGATCAGCAGTAAAAGAGTATGAACTGAATAATGAATGAGTGGAAAAAGCAGTAAAGGAGGAAGTATAAATTAGAGTGAAAACATGTTTAACGATTGTAACATTAGAATTTTGTTGGAACGAAATTATGGCATTGTTAATGGTAGGACCAAGTTAACGGTAGGATGCAGTTCACTGCTATAGTGTAATGTACTTTTGTGTTTTTTTTACCCATTGATTCACACGCGGATAGAACCTCGTCGATTGAGGATTCTACCTTGCGACGACAACACAGGTGCAGTCTTAGAATTTTGTTACTTATGCCTAAAATATCTCTTCTATGCTGCCGATTTGCACTTTTATTCAAATTTTCCCATCTTTGTTTTCTTCTTGATCGTGTCATCACTTAATTCCATTTTGTGAGTTCTGTTGTGTTCTCTTGTTTATGTACATGAGATAAGATTCGAATAGAGCGCATTGGGTGACTGTATCAGTGGCAACAGCCTGATAGTAATTGATTTGCAGGCCAGTGATTCATTAGAGTTTGCAATTTAACCCACCTGAGTTGCTCAGTTGATGGAGCATTAGATTGAGAAGCGAGAGTCCCTGGTTCGAGCCCTGTTCAGGCCACACGTCTCTCTTCCTTCAGAGGTTATAAGTGA